ACGGCAACAGCAGTGGCAACAACGCCAACAGCCAAAGCAGGACATATGCGAATTGGAATTTGTTGTTGGGAGAACGAAAACAAGGAAAAACAGCCAACGTAGCATGGCATGTGAATGCAAGTATAACCAGAATCAATAGCTTTACGCGTTGGAAGCAGAAGCGTAGAGACCTTCGGGCAGAACAACTAAAAGCGTTCAAAGTGAAGTGGAGTCATCATCGTCATTGCCGGTCGCATTGGGGAAATTGAGAGGGTTGAAATTCGACAAATATGCGCAAATAAAGGCACAAGCACACAGACAAGCGTATGACAAATGACATACATACAACCAAATAGTGGGATTTTATATTTATTTTTTTTTTTTTTAATTTTTTTTTTATTTCTTTTAATGTCTTTTTATTTTTATAACTCTTTGTCTTTTTGTTGCAGCACATGCATTTGCTGTTGTTTTTATTGTTACAACGCTTATAGCGCACAGTTTTGCTTTTGCTTTCAGCTGCTGCTCCAACGTTATTCCTTTGACAACCCAAACCCCGTTCGCCGCTGTCAGCGGGGTTGTTTGCACATGAAAACCTGCATGAAAAATTTTCCCAGCCGAAATTTGAGTAAACAAGTGAGGCATTGAATTTCGTTGATATGTATGTGTGGCGTGTGTACCGTATTTTTATTTTTGTTTTCCAACTGCAATGAATAAATTCATAACGGTCATTGATGGCGTGAGATATTGGCGGAAAGGTGCATTATTGATTTTTTTTTTTTTGTTTTAGATATTTAATACTCATTTATTCACGCGGGGCTGTGAGTTAAACTCTGAACTCACTACTCACTCGCTCTATGGAAGAGGTGCAAAAGAGAGTGTTTTCGTAGAAAAGGTGGAGATTTTGGAGGTAGACTCGTGAAATATGACTTTTTGGAAAAAAAATAAAATAAAATGAAAATAAATGGCAACCCTACTCAGAAAATATGCACAGAAAAAATATGATTGCATTTATTAAGACTTAACAATTTTTTGTTCTAATATTCAATTTTGTTTGTATTTAAAAACATTCCAATTACGAAAGTAAATGGCAACTCTGCGAAATGTTTTGTTGGAAATATCACTTGGTCACTCTTGCTCCTCTGTCATGAGTTCTTAGAAGACTGTCGATTACAAAGATTTTTAAACAATCTATACAAAAGGCATTAGTGATTTTCCCTATAGTGGTGTGCTTAACAGTGCGTTCTATATTCGGTGAGGGAGCGGGCAAGAACATTAAAAAAATATAGAAAACTCATCTAAAAAAAAAATTAAATTAATTTTTCAAACTGCAGTCGCTTCTCGGCAGGACCCCTCCGAGTGTATTTCTGTCATGAAAATCAACGCTTCATATTAAATCAGACGGCCGTTGTTGAAGCTATTTCAATTCAATATGTGGGAAAGAGCCCTAAAGACTGCTCAACATTAAACAAAATCTCAAGTGAGCGTAGCTTAATGAGAAATGTTGATTTTTACACAAAAATTTCTTAGCTGATTTTATTGATCAAAATTTTAGTTATCATGTAAACTGGTGATTACATCGAAGGCAAGCGCATAGGGAAGGATATCTTTAATTCCATTAGCAGTTAGAGAGCAAATAATACGCGTGATTTACTAATTCCAAGCTTGGAAATTATACTGGACTGTCGCCAAAAAGGGAGATGACCAAAAAGATATCAGTCCACAGTGGCTTAAATAATTTTCCTTGTGGCTTGCTTCGACAACAGATGAAATCCCGCTCTGGCTTACTTTAAAACAAGGTAAACTTGACCGAACAGTTTTGAAATAGAAAACTTCTCTAAAGTACTGAAAGTCTTGACGGGTTCTTGCGTAGTAGTGCTATAGGCAGAAAGATTAACTATTCCATACAGGAGTTGACACATAAGCTCTATGAACGTTTTGAAACGATCTCTAATCTTTAATTCGACTTTTCTGGCCTGTATAGAGAGTTATCTCAAAGTATAAGCCCGAAACTAAATTTATGTGTGATTCAAACTAGTTGAATACTGAAGCTTCTTCCAAGGTCTAACTGCATATATCGTTGTTTCAACAATGGCGGCCATTCTTGCCGTTGTTGCTGTTGTTTCTTCACTATACGAGATGATGATGATACCAAAGCTCGGTCAGTTGGTGACTTTCAATTTCTTTTTGGTAAAAATATAAAAATACCAAATTCTTTACAATGACGTTATTAGTCTACCTTTCAAATTTAAGAACGATCGGTTGAAATGTAGACGAGAAAACGAGGAGGTCAGACAAAATTCCACCAATTAAGCAAACAGATATTAGCAATGTGATTCCCTACGGGCTTCGGCAAAATTTATAGCCAATAAAAATATTCAACGAATACCAAATTGCTTATGGAACGATTGCACCGTCTTTAAAGACTATTTCTAAGTGGTTCCGAAGATTCCAGACAATTTTCCATAAAAGAAAAGCCCCGAGAAGGTCAACCAAAATCTCAAACGGATGACGTGTCAGTATGAATGCCCCGAAGTAAGTCAAATGTTCCATTCAGAACTATACTCTAAGTGAATGCATAAGAAAAGCCTATACCTCGTACGATAATATATCCTTATATCTAAATCTTACTAATTTCTGTCAATCAGTCGATGATCCGTTTCTTTATTTTTAAAGCAAGCCGAACTGATTTCCAGGTCGGTGGTTCATTTCTAGGAAACAAAATTATTACATTTAAGCATATGATCTAAAAAACATTCAAACAGATTAGTCCACTTCTTGTCAAAAGGAATTGCTAGCTAAAAGTTCTATAGATGCGAAATTTTCGAATAGTTTGGTCGCTGGGCCACTACCCGTATAAATCTTTTTGGGAACCATAGTGACAAACTGAGATTTGGACATTCACTGTTCTATTACTCGGTTCTAGGACTCGATTTCGACTCGTTTTAAATATTGGTACGCACTGCTAAGCACACGGCTATTGTGGTCACCATAATACATATTTTTTATTTACTTTTCAAGCATTATGTTTTTAGGTTTTTTTTTTTATTAATTTTTTTGGAGGTTTTTTTAGTTTTTTATTGTATCAAAAGCGGCTCCCCAATATGAGTCATAGCACTTGTAATGTATAAGGTTTCCTAATGTCTGCTTGGAAAAAGACAAAGTACGGTCATTCCAAATAATATTCTTAGAAACTTCCATCACCGCAGTCTTTTCCAGGTGGAACCATGCATGAAGCACTTCCTTTAGGAAGGCAGACAGAGAAGCTGCGCATACCAACAGACAAATACTGCAAGAAGTTCTTCAGCGGAGGAAGAAACCGGAGTCTGAAGGCAATTCTTTTTTGAATAGGTATTTAGGGCTTATGGACATCGAAAATTATTAATACTTTGAATATTATGATTTATAAAAATTTCTTGCTTTATGTAGAAAATAAATTAAAATTTCCGACACAGGGGCATCGTACTTTTTCTAAAGTTTTCATTTTGCTTGATTTATCTTTAACAAAATTATGTACTTTATGCCATTATATGTACTTATATGTATCTTTGTAGGCATACAAAAAACATTTCTAGTTCTCTTATGCCTTCTAATTCGATTATCAATGTGACTCATAGTTTGCAGGAAAAAATTTGCTTAAGGAAATGTATAAGTGAGAACTAATAAAGAGAATAAAAGAATAAAATAAATAGCCGGTTATATATAGAATGAGTACAAAAGTATAAATACATAAGCATATTCGTATATAAATATTCATCTTTATCCTTATATATGAAAACTCCGTAGGACAAGTGCTTTCAACACACATCACGGGTATTTAAATAAACGCATTTAAATCTATATATATATATAGAGAGAGAGAGAGAGAAAGACGAGCACACATTCTTACATAACATATATAAAATATATATAATTGTTGTATATCCATGAAAAATATTTATCTTAACAAATTAAATATTTATTTCCACACCAAGCAGCATTAAGCAGCACCATCAACTATGGTCATTCAGCTTTGAGAGTTGTAAGCACATACAGTGTATAAATGGATGGATGTATTGTACATCCCCATATCTGTAGTGGGTGTTTAAGCAAACATATGGCAGTTAGTAAAAGTACTGACTGAGTCTGTAAGGCAAATAGCTGAAACGTTGGTTTGTACAGAAAGTCATGTGCAGCATGCAATGGAGATGCTTAAAGGCCGAATATACACCAATACATATGTATAAATATTTAATTACATACAAATATATTTGATCGATTTTTATTTGTATACACGTTTATCAGACTAAAGGTTAAAGAAAGAAAATAACCAGAAATCAGCGGTATACTAAAGTATCAAGTATAAAAGCAAAAGCAAAAAAAAAAAAAAAAATGCCAGCAGATTGAAAGTTGATTAACCTTTGTTGTTGTTGATTTTACTCATAGAGATTACTAAGCAAAAGTTAGATTTTATTTACTATAAAATGGCATAATGTGTTGGCATGTAAATATATAGGTTTACACTCCCATACATACATATATACTTCAAGTAGTAGCATGTAGCTACTGCATATGTTTTTTTGGCTTGGCTTAGCTCTTGATTGAAAACATTTAAAAGAGAACGAATAATATTTGAAAATATTTAATCTTTCAATTACTTTAAATACTTATACATCTTTTGTAATATTTTAAGTTTTAATTACTACCATCTAAAAATAATTTAAATGAGTGCTTAAAGCTTAAGAGATCCTTTTCTGGGATGTAAGTGAAACACAAAAATATACATATTTTTAAGTAGTCAAAGACTCTCAAAAAATTAATCAAAGAGAGTGTTTCTATATGCTATTGAATTTGTTAAAGAATTTTGAAAATGTTATTATTTTTATATTTTTAATATTCTATTAATATTTATCCAACTGCACAGCTCAATAAAATGTTCTAATTTTTTGAGTTTTTGTAATTTGTTTTTTTTTTTTTTAATTTTCCATACAATGTGTGAAAAAACTATAATAAATAAAATTAAATGCATTGTGTTTGGCACTCACCTATTTTCTCGGCAAACAAATCCGCTGAATTAAATCGCGGTTGACAAGTTTTGAAAATTTTAAGACCAAATTAATCCGCAACATCAAGTTGTTTATTAGACACTGCAATAAACACTATTTAAACTTATTGTTGTTGCCATAAATGTAAAAGCACGTTCAAAAGTCGCACAGATATATGGAAGAACTGAAAAGAGAGAAAAAATGGTATTTATTTAATTCAAATAAAGCAAACGCAATATAAAAATTTGAAATAAAAATAAATTAAAATAAAATAAAATTAAATAAATGAAATAAAACAAAATAAAATAAAATAAAATAAAATAAAATAAAATAAAATAAAATAAAATAAAATAAAATAAAATAAAATAAAATAAAATAAAATAAAATAAAATAAAATAAAATAAAATAAGATAAAATAAAAAAAAATAATATAAATTAAAATAAAATAAAATAAAATAAAATAAGACCCAAAAAATAAAGCAAAGAAAAATAAAATAAAGCAATATACAATAAAATAAGGTTAAATAAAATAAGATAAATAAGTGACATAAAATAAAATAAAACAATTTAAAATATAATTGGGAAAAAATCACGAAAATAGTGGACACAGACCGTCACGTGAGCACTTATTTAACTGCTGAGTCACTAATGATAAGCCAGAAACCCATTTGAAACCATTTGCATAACCTTGGATTCAAAAAGAAGCTGGATGTTTGCTGGGTACCACTCGATATAATGCAAAAAAACGGCTGAATCGCAACAAAATCTACCCGTTTCTGAAGCGTATTGTGACTGGCGATGAAAAATGGCTCCCTTAAGACAACATCGAGTGCAAACGTTAATGGTTAAAGCTCAGGGAAGCTGCCCAGATGGTGGCCAAGACCGGATTGACAGCCCGGAAGGTTTTGCTGTGTGTTTAGTGAGATTTGCAAGGAATCATCTATTATGAGCAGCCAAACGCCCAATTCGGCCCCTTCTGGCAACAAATTGACCGCTTGAAGACATCACTCATCGTGAAGAGGCCATCTTTGATCAACACAGGCCGAATTGTGTTCCATCGGGACAACGACAGGAGCTCGGATGGGAAGTCATAATGTACCCACCTTATAGTCGGGACCCGGCACCAAGTAAAACCCATATTTTCCTGTCTATGGCGAACACGCTTAATGGTGAGAAGTTGGCCTCAAGAGAGGCCTGTGAAAATTCTGTACTGACATATCTAGCTCATTCTTATATACATAGACAAATTTAGTAAGTAAGTCTTTTAGGCCTAATAACTAATAATAATAGTAATCAAGCCAACACTTTAAACTGCTAGTAATTATTTAAAGCTTTATCTTCATCAATTGTTGTATTTGGAAAATGTCACATAAAAACTTTAATTAACATGACAATAAAAACTCGGCATATTTCCAAGAGTAAATAAAATATGCTTAAAAAACCAAAAAGCAAGAAGCAGATTTTATTTTTATCTCTCCATACATATTTATAATAAATTGACTAGTTGCCGGCGTGTAAGTGCATTGACTTTAGCTCAACTTTTCAGCTGCTTACAAACTTACGCATAAATATTTACACATTAATGTTTGTTTGTTGGTATGTTTACTTTTTGGTATTTACTATCACATCATTAAGTTGAGTTAGTTTAACGGCTTTTGGCCAAGTACAATACATCAGCAACGAAGCGGCGACCAAAACAAAATTCGAAAATAAACTTTGCTCTCTGTGTCCCCCTCCTTGTCGATTACCCAGATTCCTAAGAAATTTTCACAATAAGTTCGTTGTAAATCATTGAACTTTGCATTTTCTGGTAATAATGTTTTAATTGCAATATTAAATTTTCAGCAGTTGTTTGGGGACAAGCGAAATTAATTTTGCTTTTTCATTTAATAAATTTAATATATGGCTAAAAAATAATAAATAAAAATAAATAGCTTTAAAATAATGAATATAATATTTCTCAAAAACAATTATAACAACAAATATACTTAATTTACCTTGAAAATAGTGAAAAAAATAATCATTAATAATATTTTTTTTATAATAAATAAAATTTTTTGGGAAAATAAAGTTTTCTATGGAAAGCTACCTACGATTTAACCATGATTTTGTGCAGACATCGATCACTCAAATTACACAAATAATGCTCAATATTTATTATTTTGAATTTGTTAAAAAAACTAGAAAATTTAAGCAAATATTTATATTTTCTTTTCGATTAAAGGAGACCCTTTCCTGATTTTGGATCAAAACATCGATGTTTTTTTTTTTCTTTAAGCCATATGTTTTTAGAGTACGTGTTTAAAGGAATTTCGTCAAACGGTGAATATTTTTCAAATGGCAGCTTCTCAAACGCACTTGCCTCACGCACGCTGCGTACTTTCAAAAAACTCTGAACGCGTTTTTCGCGAAACCATGTTTTCCGAACTAACTTCAAGCCCCGAGCTTGATCTATCCATCCGATTTCTTTAACCCACAAACTGTTGCAAAGAACATAGCTTTTGTACGTCTTTAACCAATGATTAGCATTAATAATTAATTATTTATATTTATTTAAAGTAATTGAAATGAAAAAAGTGGCAAAAAATTTAACTTAAGGTAAATACAACGATTTTAGATATCGATACCAAGAGGCTGTAGGCTTGAAATTATTGGGCCATAATTATCGCGCAGTGACCGATGGAAAGCATCATTTTGTAGCTGCCATTTTGAATTTCGCTATTCTGAATTTCGATTTTTTTTTTGCCACCTGAAAATTTCAAATAATAAAAAAAATTTAATAGTCAAAACCGGCAGCACCTACGCCTTTTCGGTCTCCCACAAAAAAAATACAGAGTTTGCTTGATTTTTGCCCAATATCAGTGGAGATTCCCCTTAAAAAAAGGTCATGCCAATTGAAATCGATTTTTTTCGATATATTCAAAGTTAAGGATATACTTTAAATCAAAATTGTTATGAGAAATATGTATGCCGATAAAAAAAAAAAAATTTTACAAAAAATCGAGCCTAAAACGTACAAAAATTTTTTTTATAGAAAAGAACTTAAGGTCTTCCCAAAAAAACTGTTATTTTTTTAATAGAGATTGCATTAAAAAATCGAAATTTATATATGTATTTTTTAGTTTCAAAACACCGATTAATACTAAGAGGCTTTTCTTTTTCACTCCTTAGAATACAGAGAAAAGAGTTTAATCAACGAGAACTGCATTAAATTTCAGAAAATTATTTTGAAAAATGTTTTGACGCTTGAATTATTCTATGGCATTAATGCATTATTTTCGATAGGGGCTACTTTGAAGGCGAGACAATAAATTTGAATGAATAAGAAATATTTTTCATTTTATGGGCCACTTCGCGGTACTTTTCTGAAAGATGACATGATGTAAAGGGTGTATTTTTAGAGCCGGAGACAGATTTCATACAAGCGGGTACATACATATATATGAAGAATTGTTTCATTCGGACTCCGAGAATTCTTAAAAAATTTAAGAGAGGCGTTAAACCCCAAAAAAAAACTTACTGTCTGCTGCATTCTTAAGTCTAGAGGTGTAATTGGAGCTTATTTCTTTGAAAATAACAACGCCGCGACTGTCACTGTTTTTTCGGAGTGTTATGGCCAAATGATAGTCGACTTTTTTGGGTCTGCAAGTGAAGAAAATGAGTTGGAAAATGTGGTTTTAACACGCTCTTTCCTTATGCCATACAACAGGAGTGATTATGGATTTATAGGGAGCGATGTTTACCGGTAGCGTAGTCTATCATCTTGGCGATGTCAACGGTTTACCGAGATTGTGCAATTTAATTTTTTGTGGGGTTTTATGTGGATAAACCTTTAAATCTTAAGCACTTGAAATCAACATTCGTCAAGTTATGGCTAAGTTACCCCCAACGGATCGAAATTTGCGAAAATTCGCGAGGCGGTTATTTGAATGATGAAGTATTACATATATATATATATATATATATATACCAATATTCCAACATTATTATAAAAACTACGACGTGGACCGCAAAATATGTTGGTGTTATATTTTATATTTTTCTCCTAATAAAATAATAGTATAATACAGGAGTAATTGCATCACAAAAGGCCTGTAAACTAGACAAAGTTCGATAAATTTGGTACTTGTAATTTTTACGGTACCGTATCAACACAAATTGAAAACGAGTCTCATGTCTGAGATTTTCACTTTTCACCCTTCGCTTGACTCAAAATCAAGTATTTAAAACATTAATCAACTGAATGCTACCCAATTTTTTAGTGCCCGCAAAAATGACTGAAATAGATTCAGAATCCAGATGCACCTTCCACATAAAAGGACTTCTAGTTTTTTTTTTTATCGATTTGTGGAATTAATATAAATAACAGTCGATTACCGAAAGTTTGTCGCCACTCGAACTTAGTCTTCCCTACTTTTTAATTAATACCAATAAAGTAATTTAAAATGTAGAATCATAAAAATGTTGCCATGGCAACGCCAGAGCCCTTATTAGCGATGTTATTAAAAACTTTTTACTAGCGCATAATTTTTCCTTGCATATTAAAAAGCATAAAAACTTTAAGAAAAAATAAATAAAAATGCGGAAAATCAGCTGAAATGTTGCTGCTACAAGTGTAAATGTCAGTGTGTATGTATGTATGTATTGTGTGTGGGCTAAAAGTCAAGGAAAGCGCAGAAATTTATACACTTGTAAGAACTTTAAGATTTTGTACGGCAATGCTGCAGCAATATTTACATATTTACAAACTTACCTATAGGCGCATATACGTATGTACATATGTATATGCATACATTCATACAGAAAAGCTGCAACTCTATAACGCTCGTACAACACAATGCAACGGATAAGCTAAACTTAACGCGGATTTAGCCGCATTCCGGGTTTGAAGAGCGTTTAAGTGTACACACATACATATACATGAACGTATATATAGATCTACACAAATAAACATGCATATAAAGAGCCCATTCCGTAGCAAAAAAAAAAACAGGTGGTGAACCAGCAAAACGCATTGAGAATGATATGGAAATGCATGCAGATTAAAAAACGAGAAAAGAAAAAAAATACAAAAACAAATAAAAGTACCAAACGAAGACGAAACAAAAGGCAAAAAAAAGATCAAAAAAAAAAAACAAACAAACAGAAAATTACAAGGTAAAACTACAAGTACAAGTTACAATA